CCCAGAGGAGATGTAAGGAAAGGAAGAGGGGCCCAGTGGAAGGGGGTTAATGGTTACCTGGAGAGGTGACTGTGACAGAGCCACAGGTGGGGAGGAAGTTGTGCTAATTGACTGGATCGGATTCTCTGGCTTCCTTGGTCTCCTAAGCCCAGGATGACAACTGGCTTCCTCAGCGTGTTCTGGCTAAGCTTAAAAATGCCTCATTATGAGTGAGACTGAATGAGTTTGAGCTTTCAAATCAGAATGCCTAGATTTGAATACTAGCTCTGCCAATTCCTAGCTGTATGACCTTAACAAGTTATTTAGCCTCTCTGAGTTTTGATTTTTTTTCTCAGTATGTGCATAAAATAGGAACTTTGTAGATTTTTGTGAGGATTAATTTAAAAAGTTCTTAAAATTGTGGTAAAATGAGTGCTAAATAAATATTACTAGTTGCTATGGACATTGTGGCTATCATTGCATCACTCATCCCCTCTTCTCTTAGAAACTATCCCATTCTTGACTGAGTCTGCATACCCAACCCTAGAAGGCCTTTGAGACTTTGAATGAAGCTCCACAGTCTTGGCTCCATCTACCTCTGGCTCTAGTCATGGGGCCTCTGGCTCAGGCCTAAATTAATTAGCATAGTCCCACTTCCTGGTCATGATTATTGTTCTAGAGTAGGGTTTTCATCAACTTTGTCTTTTTTTATTTTATTTTATTTTATTTTATTTATTTATATTTTAGCATATTATGGGGGTACAAGTTTTTAGGTTACATATATTGCCCATGCCCCCCTCCCTCCTCTAGTAGGAGCTTCAAGTGTGTCCATCCCCCAAATGTTGCACATCTTATTCATTGTGGTTGTATATACCTATCCCCTCCTCCCCCCTCCCACCCTCCCAACACCTGATAAATGTTACTCCTATACTCCTATATGTCCACTTAGGTATTGTTGATCAACTTTGGTTCAATGAGACTTAAGACAATTGTTGGGGACTTCTCAGAAAGAAGCATCCTTGCTTTTTTGAGAAATTTCAGAAGAGAGGTGGCATTATTACTATTATTATTATGTTATTAGTGTATATATCTATTCTAGGTTTTCTTAAGGGTCTTGACATTTAGCTTTTACCACCTGGTATAGAGGGAGGAGTCAGAGCTGCACACAAAATAGACCACAGGGATTTACTGAACTTCTCCATGAGCAGGGGCAGGGATAAGGTTAGAATCTCCATGGGCACCCCACAGGTTTGGCCTTCTGAGATCAGGATCAAGGTTCTGAGCAACTTGGGGTCTAGTGTTCATCTCAAGAGCCTTTTGAAAATGCTTCATGAATTTTTAATGGCAGGAGGGCAGCAAGTTATGTGACTGAATGGGTTCAGAACCTGTTACTGTAAAATATGCCACTTTCGCATATTGATTATTTTGAGCTCAAGGAAATTAAGAACCAGCCAATGTAGGAAAAGCTCTTTAACTCCCCTTCAACTACCTAAAATAAAGTATCAATTTTCCACTTTGTGAAGGAGAATGACATTTATAAAGGAAATTCTTATCAGTAAAGGTATCTGTACCAGGAAAAGAGCTACTCAGAGACTTTTATCAACTGAGCGAATTTTGTCTGCATAACAAGACAATCTTTATTCACTAAACATCTCCTCCATCCACCTTCCCACAGTATATGCCCCTACCTCCCTCCTTACCCTCAAGCCCCAAACCTCTATTCTTTTCTGTAGCTCAGGATGACATTTAAGTCTCAATTAGCTAGCTGCTTCCCGGACTCTCACATGTTTGTGGGACTCCCATACAAACATATGCAATTAAAATGGTTTTTCTTCTGTTAATCTGTCTTATGCCAATTTCATTCTTAGAATAGCCACAGAACCTAGAAGGATAAAAGGAAGCATCTTCCCTTCCCTACATGACATTGATAATCCTGAAAAAGCAAGCTTTCAAAGTTCCCTGCCTTTCTTGCAATAACATAGCCACCACAGAGGAAAATATTCTAATGGTTTTGACGAATTTCTAATAGCAAAAGCAATGACATCTCCGAGAATATTGTGGTTCCAAAACTTATTGAAACCCAGTTATTAGGTGCTAATGCAGGCATCAGTGAACTATGGCAAGTGGGCCAATTATAAGACAAAACTAGCTTTCATTGTCAGGGAGATCAATTGTCATCCCGCAGCCCCCACCTCCAGACCAAAGTTCCATCTTATTGAGAGAACTGTCACCAGACGGAAGCAGCAACAGCTGACAATTGTCCCCGGCCTCATGTTGGCAGCTAAGTTTATCCACCTTTGGGAGAAAACTTCAGCATGCCAATTTTCAAAGACTGCCAACCTTTGCAGCAAAGCACAGTAAAGCCTACTCACATTTATGGTTTCTTTTGCTGTTTGGTTCCCTGTGATGCTTATATTTTTCTTTAGCTTAACTAAATGGTAACCAAGCCCAACATTTATTCTTGTTAAATGAGAAACACCAGATTACAATTCACTGGCAAAAGTGAAGACTTTTAAAGGTATTTAATCACATAGATAACATTTAAGCCCAGGCGGAGAAAGAAGTAATCAAGCCTGATTTTCAACAGCCTTTTGGAAAATGCTTCATGAATTTTTAATTTTAAATTGCAAGAGGGTAGGAACTTGTCTTTATGACTCAGCTGACGGATGGTTCCTCATAACCCGCTGGTTTTATTTAAATTTAGAAAAAAGAACATTGTCTACTAAATCATCAATATCACTGGCTGTAACACCTTGGGTTTCCCTTGGAGACTTGGTTCAGGCATATAAATCTGTAATAAGCCTCAGACACAGGGAAAGAATCATGGTGAGCCCAACAGAAAATAACTGTCCCCCTACAACTCTGACAAGAGAAAGGCTCTTCCCTGGGTCTGATTTCTAAGTACGGTATGTAATCCAGCTCAAACAGAAAAACCCTGGCTAATGAATTTCAGTTGCCTTGATGATCCAACAGAGGGCTGATAAAATGACTCACTCTGTAAGCAACACCTGTGGTCCATGTTGCAGAATTGGCCTGCCCTCAAGGAGTTTATAGCCTCAAAAGTGACTATGCACTGTTAAATCCATGGGGAAAAACAGAACAAATGATTACCCAAGGAAACGAGATGAGGAGTTGAGACAAACCACTCAACAATCAATATCATTCCTTCGTTTACTCTTGATTTTCAGAGATAGAAAAGCTACACAGAGTATTTATTATACAAGGTTAATACTCTGAGCTCTACTTCCAGATCTATCCTTCACAGCAGGAATAAGTATTAACCAACGACATGTGGGCTTAAAAAGCACTATGTTTGAAAAATATGATTCTCCATAAGCTGATATGGGCCTGTGGTGGTGAGAATTGCATCCTTGATCTCATTTTGGGGAGCTGCCTCTACTTCTCTAGGGTTAAATTATAGTCTCAGTTGACTTGTAAATCCAGAATACAGGGGAAGGGGCACCTTCGGGTTGGGTTCCCCTTGGTCATGCTCTCTGGGAAATAGGCAGCTTGGGCATAGGAAGTGTTCCCGAGCTTGAGAGGGGCTTTAGGGTCCACATCCAGCTGCACAAGCTGTAACACTTTGCTATGCCCACGTAGGATGTGTGGGTGTCCCTGAGTGCTGTACATGAGCATGGTGCTGCCCTGGCCCCTCAGCCTCAAGGAAGGGTGAAAGCCTCTCACCTCCTCAAATTGATCCAATTCTGCTTTCCTCAAACTTTGCAGACCCCTTCCCCTTTCAGATACCTCACTACCATTGCTTTCATGAGCTTATGCCTTGAAAAGTTGAAGCTGGGTTTACCTGTTGGGTAGCTGGCAACTTCTGCTTTTGGCCTCATAACACCAGAATCTATTAAGCATGGGAACAAAAGGCTTAGCTGCCTTTTCAGTATGTGGAAGGAAAATGTATGAACAGTAGTGAGAATGAAGCACAAGTTAGATTCTAAATACATTGTCCTGTCACACATTAGTGTGTGTGGCACAAGCAATTCAATGACCTGTCCCCGTTTCCTGCACTAGTTTTAAATCCACAAAAAAATCAAGAATATACATGGGAGGATAGCTGGGAATACTTGGTAGTAGAACTCAGTAGTAGAACTGCTAATTTAGCTGGATACTTGTAATAAAGGCTACATATCCCAGCTTCTTTTGCAGCTACATGTGGCATTATGGCCAAGTTTTGGCCAATAGGAGGTTAAGTGAAAATGTATGTAAATTGTATGTATATAAAGTGTCCTCAAGGAGAAGGGGCATGCCACTTTTTTGTCCTTCCTCTTTCCTGCTGGCTGGAATGCTGTTATAGTGCCTGAGGCTCCAACAGACATCCAGGGCCATGAGGTGGACATTGCATGTTGATGGTGGAAGAGCAGAAAGACTGATGTAGTCTTAGCTCTGATCACCCCACAGAGCTTCGCACCCAACCCTGCACTGCCTGCTTTCAGACTTCTTGCACCCAGGAGAGAAATTAGCTCCTATCTTAAAAAAAAAAAAAAATTATTATTTTGAGCTATCCCAGTTGATATTCCTCAAATCAAATGAGGTAATACTAGGTTTTATCTTTTCTGAAGAATTCCACAATACCAGAGAAATATAAAGCAATTCCATATCACCAAAGAAAACATGTAATATCTGAGTTCCCTTTTATATTCTCAGTAGTAACCTATACGTATGCATTTTAAAGCAATTCCATATCACCAAAGAAAACATGTAATATCTGAGTTCCTTTTTATATTCTCAGTAGTAACCTATACGTATGCATTTGCTTATATTTGTAGAAGGGAAGTTAGCCTGAGTCTCCAGGCTGCTGCCATAGTTTAGGCCCAGCATGCATACATGCACAGGTGACTGAGGAACTGCCTGAGATTGAACTCATCCTAAACAAAGAGCAAGTCAGGTACACAAGCTTAGTGTGGTCATGGGCTGGTGGGGTGAGTTTCAGGATATTGAAAGTGTAAAATTCAGCTTGTTTCTAAAACCTGACTTTCTTGGTTTCAAACAACAAAGTGGGAAGAGTCTGAAAGTTAAAATGAAAATGACTACGTTTCTTCAGGTATTTGGTGAGATTGGGACACATTCCACATAACTTTGGGGCCTGCAGAGCATCCTGTGGGAATCAAGAGGAGCTGGGGTCAGTGGTAATAGTGGCATGAGGCCAGTAGTGGCACCATGTGCAGGTGGACCGGGCAACATTCCATGGCACCACTCACAGTCACAGATGAGAAAGGTTTCCCAGGCAGCAGGAGGTAGTGCCAATGGTTGGCGGCTTTCCAATGGCCCTGGGAGCAACGGAGGCGGCACAGCTGTCCTTAGACCAACAACCTGGACAGCAGAGGCCAGGAATCTTCAGCAGCAGATTCCTACAGAAGTTAGAGGGAAGGACGGGAGAAACATGGTGAATGCCCCATGGCTGCTGAAAGAACTTATCATTTTGAAACATTTCAAACATTTCTTAGGAACTTTCAGATAAATCTGAGGATGGAATAGAAAGTTTTGAAAAAGGTTTAAGGTCCTGTAACATAAGCAGGGATCAGAGCTAGAGAAACAGTTTATTGCCAATAATATGACTAAGGTTCAGGTGGCCCAGGAAAAAACATAGGTTACATTTTCTTAAAATTTCATTACCAATGACAATTATTGTTTTCCACTATGCAAGATCCATTTTACCAATATACAGACTTAAGACAGGCTGAAAGGGTACTTAATAATTACCTAAAGCTATTTTAAATTGGATAATAGAGATTTAGCTTTAAGAAACAAATAATGTCTTATGTATAGATTGTGTAGGAGGAGATAATACGTAAGTGATGGTACTGATATAATATTCTGCTAGAAATTGCAAAGAAAAAAACCACTTTAAGAACACATAATTTTTTACATTTGAAAAGTAACAAAAATGGAGAGTGGGTGGCTAGCCAATAAAGCTAGCACATTTATTTAGAAGAGGCACTTGAAAATAAAATTTCCTGTTTTGGTTTAAGAATTAAGACCTTGAATCCTTACTTGTGGAAACATCAAATAAACTGAGGTTTGACCCTTCTCTAGTCATGCCACATAGTTCAGTGAAGATCTGTGTAAATCTATTCACTCACTCATATGTTCATTACATCAAATATTTCTTGGGTATCTGCTATAGTCAAAGTGCTGAGACAAGTGTTATATGAAAGTAGGGAGAATTAAAATATGAGTAAAATATAATTCTTGTTCTTTAAGAATTCAAAAGCCCATGGAGTGAGTTGGGAGGTAGATACATATAAATAAATTATTGAAATATTATGTGATAAATGAATATAAGTGAACATGTAGGTACCAGAGTTACAAGTCCTGTGGGGAACATGTGACATGCAGGGACATGTGATCTTTGAGTTTGGTCATGAACCCAAAGTGATCTATAGATTCAATGAAATCCCTATTAAAATAACAAAATCATTTTTTTAAGAACCTAGAAAAAATAATTCTATGCTTCATATGGAACCAGAGAAGAGGCCATATAGCAAAAACAACAACAACAAAAAAAAACTTAAGCAATAAGAACAAATTGGGAGGCATCAATTTACCAGACTTCAAGCTATACTGAGGCTATAGTAACTAAAACAGCATGGTATTGGTACAAGAACAGAGACAGATAGATGGAATAGAACTGAGAACCCACATATAAAACGATCCTCATATAGCCATCTAATCTTTGACAAAACAGACAAAAACATATACTGGGGAAAAGAATCCTTACTTAATATATACCATGAAGTTCTTATCAGCCACACACACACACACACAAAAAGTGGTGATCTAGCACCTCTTGTATTATCCTGGGTAGAGCCGGAGCCCATTTTACTAAGTGAAGTATCACAAGAATGGAAAAACAAGCACCACATGTACTCACCATCAAATTGGTATTAACTGATCAACACTATGTGCACATATAGTAGTAACATTCATCGGGTGTCAGGCAGGTGGGAGTGAGGAGAAACCGATGGAATATTCACACCTAATGAGTGCAGTGCACACCATCTGGGGGTTCGACACACTTGAAGGTCTGACTTAGGTGGGACAAAGGCAATATATGTAACCTAAATATTTGTCTCCCTGTAATATGCTGAAATAAAAAAAGTAAAACAAAAAATAGTAAAATAAAAAAGACTTTAATAAAGGCAGACAAGTTATGTAGGGCATTGCATAGCAGGCCTTGAGGAGTTATAGAGAACATTACTTTGGGAGTGTGAGAAAAAGTTTAGTGTAGTTGGAGCAAAAGGAGCACGACTGATAACTGGAGGTGGGGCCGGTCTGCGAGGCATCATGTGCTGTGCTGAGGACTTGGACTTGTGCCTTTAGTAGTGGCAACTCATGAAAATGTTTTAAGTAGCAGAACATGATCAAATTGGTTTAATTTGGTGGGTGTTCAATCAACATTTATTGACTTCCTATTTGGTGTTTAGCACTGTTCTAGGGATAAAGAGAAGGGCACAACTTGGGGACTTGCAGTTCCATGGCAGAAGCAACCACATAAACATGCTGGGGTAATGGTCTGTACAGGGTGTGTCAGGCTTAGCTGAACCTGGGAGATTTGGGAGAGGTTCCAAAGATGACCTAAACTGAGACTTGAAGGACTCATCTAACTAATGTGTGTCTCCTGCTAGAACAGACTCTCATGGACTTTTACAGGAATTCATGGCACATAGCATACACTATAGAAGCATTTGTTAAATACATTTTTTAAAAATGAGAGCAAAGAAAATCTGTTTTGTTCAGTGTTTGGAGCAGTGCCTGCACATAGTAGGTGGATTCTGTTATGCTATAGTGATGAAAAGATGACAAATAAGGGATGAATTTGAACATTTGGGATGTGGAATAACTAGAGGCTCGGACATGTTATGGTGGGAGAGATATGAGAGTGGGGAGAGCCAGAATACAACATGTTTTCTTTTTTGGTGATGCAGGAAACACACACACACACAGAGTCAGGTATGGTTGAGGTGAAGAGTCCCTTTTGGACATTGTGAATTGAGGCTCCTAAGGGGGCATCTGAGTGTGCATGCTCAGAGGAAATACAAATCTGGACTGGAGAAGGGATCAGGGGACACTGTAGGAAGATGGCAGGCTGAGCATGTTCTTCATTCTCCATCTTCCACTCTGGAAAGAGCAGAAGAGACTAGAAAGGAAAATAAATCAAATAGGTGTTGGGAAATGGGATGGGAGGTGCTTAGGGACTAGGAATAAAGAGAAATATCTGAAAGATAAAAGCAGATGGATTGGATTGAAGAAGAAATTCACAGCCAGCCTAAAACTCAGGCAAAAGTGGGAATGGGTTTGAGAAAGCCCCAAGTACAGAACCTGCAGGTACGGAGCCCCCCAGGGGGTTCAGGGGGTCTGATGTGGTATCACAGAGGAAGACACGTTAGGCCACTCTTTTCCTAAAAAGGATTTAAGCACAAAAAGATTCATATAACACAGTCAGATAAGATACAAATGAAAATAGTTTAAAAAATGAGAAAGAGAAAATAAGGATTAGAAAGTAAGATGAATCTAGGTGTGTGCATACTAAAGATCATGCCAGGAAGTCCCACGTACTTGCTAGGTAGAGGCGGGTCATGTATATTGCTACAAACTTTCAATCACGGGGAAAAATGAAACAGAATGTCTTTACATAACTGATAGATAGTTATGTAAAGAGTTAAAAACAAATTAGCTGCTTCCAATCTGACTTCCACAAGTCCAGCCAGGAATTCTGTTCACGTTCAGAGGAGCCATGGGGTTATATGTGGTGGAAGAAGTGAACTACCAGGTATAGCATATCTGCTTAGTGCTGAGTGCTGCACGTGTACTTTCTAATTTAATAATCATAATGACTTGGTCCTGTCTTGGTCCAAACCAATGGGCTTTACGTTGTCCTTTATTTCTCTGCAGAGAAGTGTCCTATACTCTTTGCTTTCTGCCAAGTACTTACCAGTGCAAAATGAAGGTTGACTCTCTGTGTATCAATAACCTGTAAAGAAATCTTCCACAAGATTTGAATCAAAGGGCTTTATCCAAGATTATTGATACTCCCAGCCATTCTTTAAGATTACAATAAATTCCGTTGATGCCTGCTGTCAGACAAGTCTCAGTATCACTCTTTCTTAGGAAAGGTTGGTTGACCCAACACAAAGCTGTCTAGGATTACTAGGAATCCCTCCTCTGTAGCTTTGAAATCATTAGAACAGCTTGGACATGGAATGCTGTCCACTGGTGTTCTGTGAGGAAATAGAGCTTACAGGGAAGAGTGTTGTTGTAAATGGGTCCAGTCCTTGATTTGATGCACCTGAAAACGTGAATATACATTTTAGGGCAAATTGTATTCAAATGCCTAATAAGAGTTGTGTATACACTTAGGTAGGATGGTGTAGACTTTGGGTTCTGTACCTATCAACCATGACTCTGACCCTCCCAGATATCCCATAACTTAATTCATATGCCAATACCTTTCTTTTCTTTTTTAGCTAGCTAAAGTGTCCTGTTCCCTGCAACTAAGAATTTCAATGACACAACATTTATAGAGAAGGAAGAGGTAAGGGGATGAGGTTCACATTGACATTAACCTGTAACTACCTGTAATTAACCTGTAATTAGCTAAAATGTGTATAGCTACTAGAAATACATATTGTTGCCCTAGTGTTATTTTTTTATTAGTATGTTTATTTCCTTATTTAGATACAAAGCACCTCAGATACAAGGACCTCATCTTCTCAACAGAGTGCTGTATGTAAGGTCTGTGGGCTCTGTCCCCAGACTGCCTGATTTGAATCTTGGCTTCACCATTTTCTAGCTGCACAACCTTGAGCAAGGTCAGTTCCTTTGCTGGTAGAATGGAGATCATATTGCCTTACCTTACAAGTGTTGTTCAGCTTCAATGACATAATATCCATAAAGGGCTTAATACAGTCTCTGCAATGTGACAGGCACATAATAAAGACTAGCTGTCATTATTATTATATCATAACCCTTTAGAACTTACCACAGTAAGTGACAGGTGGTCAGTGTGGACAAAGGTGTAGAAGAGTGAATGGGAGTCACCTCCAATCCTACAGTATTTTAGTTGCTGGTACAGCATACCTACCTGACCCTCCAAACTTTGAGGTTTTCCTTGAAGGTTTTTCCCTGCACATTGATGGAGCAACGGTGAGCACAGACACAATCATGCTATCAACTGGCTCTCGTATCCCTCTGCCTTCTCACACAACTCGTTTCCAGCCGCAATAAATGCCAGCTCCATTTATACATCCTCCTTCCCAAATCTCCTCCATATCTGATTTCACATGGAAATAATCACAGGCAGAGTGTTTATGCAGGTCTCCATGGCAACGATCCATTCTCTGGTCTCCACGGTGACACTTGCAAACACTTATAACCTCTCAAATTCATTTTGTTTGTTTATTTGAAACATCTACTGATTTGATTTATCAGCCTAAGCCATGCATAACAGCACAAATCTACTTCTTTCCAAGCATAAAAAGGAAGGAGAGACAGGAGGGAGAATGCAATGAAATAATATTTAGGTCATGTCTTACACAGGAATAATCTTCTAAAAAATTTATTTGGCAATCAAAACCAAAACCACAATTTTTATTTCATACCATAAATGATATAAGGAATATATCATTAGTACTAAAACATATATACAAATGGTCTTTTAACAATAGACCAACTGGATTCTTTGTAAAAAATAAAGATATGTGGGAAAAAAAATCACTGGGTTAGTAATCAAGCAACCTGAAATCTAGACCTAATTTTATAAAACCCAACCATCCCAAGACTAAAGGCTTTCCAGACACATGAGATCTTAAGTGCTAAAACCAGGACAGATCTGAGGAAACCAAGATGGTGGGTCACCCTAGTGTGCCAACTTGAAGCACTCAGTTGACACCTCTGCCCTAATCTTCATGTCATTGAGGGACTAAAGAAAATCATTGCTGTGATTCCTTCCAGAGCTAATGTTTTGTGATTCTAAAAAGTAGATCTGGGTGTTTTCCCCAGGAGCACCCCAGTTCACTGTGAGGATGGTATGCTGTACTCACTTCCCAAATACAAATCCATGTTGAAAGTAAAAGTGCATTTCTTTCAGAACTAAGAGTCAGGCAACTTGTCAATCCATGAACTCTAGCCAACTGACTTAGCCATACACAGTCTTCTTGGTTGTTCTTCATCATTTTCATCAAACAAAGAAAAATTGGGGGGAAGGTAAGAGTGAGTTGCATTTCTTTTTCAAAAACAAACAAAAAAACAAACAAACCATAAAACACACCAAAAATACCTTGTCATCTATGGCATATTATCCTCCCGTTGCAAAACATCTCTAACCACCATTAAGAAACTCACTGATGTGTAGACTTCTTAATTTTCCTATTTCTGCGTGATAAATGAGAATGGATGCTAAAAGATGCATCAACATACATCTCTGATTTTTCAGCCTAAGCCACACATAACAAAAAACATGAGGAAGAGCAGAAAAAAAAAAAAAGAAAAAAATACGAGGAACAATCCAAACAAGTCTCATTTTTTAGTTTCACATAAAACTAAAAAATTTTAGGTTTGCCATATTATTCAGGAGTGTAGGAGATTGGTTGAATTGAGTGAAAATGTTTTGAACAGAGCAACATACTGGTTTTTTTCCATTTCAGTTCACAGCATTTGTATATCCCTTGTAATAATTTCCACTTGAAGAGAAATAATTGCTTTTGTAGAAACAATATATAAACGATTATTTTTGTTCTCTAAAATGCATGGCCACCATGTAAGGAGATTCTTTTTCTTCATGGATAATCCTTTGCAGCTTGGTAACTCTGATGCAAAATCATCAATATGCTTGGGTGTGCATTGCTGGTTTATCTACCTATCTGTCTAGCTATCATTATCTATCTGTCTAGCTATTTGTGCAGAAATTCTTTAAAAATCATTGTGGCACAACAACCTTAAAGAATATTATTTATAAAACAGCAATTATATGGAGAAAGATTAATGGGAAAAATCCTTAAATATAAGAATGTTTCTTAGAAATCCTTTGGACTTATTCATCTTTATTTGTTCCAATTCTATTTTCCCTAAAACTTTTGGAAACCTAATTTTACTGATTTTTCTATATTAGGAAATTAATCCATTGCTTATTGTTTTCTGTGGTAGGATGGAGTCTTCTGTCACTTTCAATTTATTTCTTCCCATTATTGCTCTTAAAGGGGAGGGGATAGCTTTTGAAATGTGCACACGCTACAGTTGTGTTATATGAGAAGCGATCAATACTAGCAAAAGAGAGTTTTGTTTGTCTTAGAGGTGCTGCATGCTGAAGAATTTAAGAATCCATCTTTATTTTAAGAGGCTAGAGGCAGGGACAGGGCTCGCTGGCCTTAATGGCAAAGGGCAGCACTGATGCCCAGAGGAAGGGGCATGGAGAAGTGAAGGGAACCTTTTTGCTCTTTGCTTTTCAGTGTATATCCCTGGTTAATTCTTTTTGAAGGGCAGGCAACCTTTATGGGAACAATATTAATAAAAAAATCGAACCATCCTCTGAACTCCATGCATATTTATGATCACTTATCAATACATTTGGATTTATTCTTGCAATAGATTATAGCTTCCAAATAGGGGGAGGAGGCATTAGTGATCTACAGTACAGGAACTTATCATGCCAAATGAAGTAAGCCAACACTGCTCTGCCACTGGAGAGAAATTCTGTTCAGACCCAGCCTGAGCTGTTGGGGCACTTGGTGTATTGTCTTCTAAAGAGAAGAACACCAAGGGGACCAAGGTAGGCCGTCAAGCTCTGAAATGTGTGCAAGAATAGACCAAGTCTTGGTGGAACTTGGGAGTGATGCTTTGATGTGAGAGCTTATCAGTGATTCCATCAGAGATTTCTGGCAGAAAGTATTGGAAGAATGGAGATGGTGGAGCTTTGTGTGGTCCAATATAGAATTGGAAGAAGGCTGAATTGGTCTCAGGGCAAAATAGAAAGTTTTCAAGTGGAACACTGGAATTGGTGGGAGGACCCTGTCCCCATCACATCTGTCTCCCATCTCCAGGATCCAGGGACAAGAAGCAGGGTATCAGCAGGATGTTCCAGAGCAGCGGGTCTCAGACAGCACAAGCCGATGATGTTTGTGAAAGCTGTAGATCAAGGGCCAGAGGGAGACTTTGAACTGCTTATTGAACACATTTAGGAAACGCTGTGTGAATGGACTGTCCCAAGAGTAGAAAACACAGGAAGATTATGGTGAGATCAGAGGTTACCAATGCCCCCTTGGCCCATGGGGTAAAGCTGTGCAGGAGGTGGCACACTGGAAAGTTTGACCCCCAGAGTGAGTTTTTGGCAGAGATATAATTCAAGGAAGCACAACACTAAGCACTTGGCCATGAAAGAGAAGATGAAAGACCCTTCAGTTTTGTTTTCGGAAACAAGATCCAGAGAAGGCTCAAATCTGTGTGGCAGAAGCCATAAATGTCCAGGATCTGCTGGTCTAACTGGATTGTTAGGAGGCCTTAGCATCCCAGAGGTTTTTCTCTGCTTTCTCCAGGAATTCTGAAGCAAGATATAACAGTCAAACATTGTGTTCAGCTGGGAGGAAAAAAGAGCCTCTCCCTCTTGCCAAATGCAGTGGCTGTATCATTCAGGGGCAAGTCAGGAAACAGAAACCAGTGCACACATTTCAAACAGAGGGCATTATTTCCAGGAATTTGCTGCACAGTTGATGAAAGAGGTGACAAGTTGAACATTATTCAGTGAGGATATCTGCTGATTAGCAACAGGGGAAAGCCCATGCCACCATGAGGGAGAGAGGAAGGCAGGAGATGGAGGCACAGCAGCCCAGGAGCCAGGGCTACTTGGCAGAAGATGGAGGATTCCCTGTACAGGGAAGCTTGTCCGGTGAGAGCAAATCATTCTATTGCCAGAGTCTCTCCTGAAGCAGAGAAAAATGGAAAGAAATACTCTGGCTTCTCCCCACCTCTTGCCCTTTGGTATTCAACTCATTAGTTTGATCTCCCTGGAAGGCAAAAGTCAAGGGAGACTGGGAAATGTCATTTCCTAAAGTCCAGAGCAAAGCTGAAAAGGGCAGGGAGTGAGTCTAGGAGAAAACAGAACATTACCTGCATTATGGCTTAAACAAATCAGGGAGTTTGCTTTCCCTCTCACATAAAAGAAGTCTGGAAGGCAGCTCTCTGATGCTAATGCTGTGACTCTAAGATATCACCAGGGGCCAAACCTCCATCTTTATGCTCTACTATTCTGAGTGTGTAGCTTCCATTGTCAAGATCACTTTATGATCCAATATGACTGCCGTTGCTCCAGTCATCACATTCACCTTTCAAGCAGGAAACAGGAAAGAGCTTTCCAGAATCCCCCTATACTACCAACTATGTCTAATTATCTATTCCTGTTGACAAACGAAGCTTAAAAATGTTATTTTTTTCAGGTGGGCAAATTGCCCTGAGTTTTTACCTTTAAGGAAAGGGAAGATTGGGTATTTGTAAACCACAGGCAATCTCTATCACAGAGAAAAAGAAAGACTGATATCTAAGAATTAGCACAAACAGAATAGAGTTGTTGGGCTGCATCTCAGACACAAGCACAAGTCCAGTGATATGGAGAGACCCAAGGCAAAGGAAGGATGGGAGTGTTAGTTTAGGGGCTGTGGTTACTATTTTATAGCTTTGTTCAAATTTGATTAGAAACCTGCAGAAAGTATTACAGTTTGAGTATAGTTTTGATCAACTACAAGTAAGATTGGGTTCTGTCTCTTAGTAATAGAATACCCTTCCAGATATTTGGGTACATAAAAGAAATATCATCATTCATTCATCAAACACTTATTATTTCAGCAAATACTTGGGCAGACATTGTGCTAGGTGCTGGACACAGGCATGAACAGACATAGCCTTGTGTCTACTCCCATCAAGCTTATACTGCTCTTTGTGGGATCCTTAATCTCTGGCCTAGAACTCACAGATGCACAACCTATGAGCCACATACATGATTTATTTGCCCTACATGATGTTAACTAGCGCAGTATGAGAAAAAAATACATGCTAATCGACAGCTATTATGGGCTGAATTGT